TCACAGGGCATAAGTGAGTTTCAAGGACTGTCAGGCCTCTGCTATATCATATTCTTTGGTGGGAGTGCCGATTAAGCAAACATATGTTTGCTATAGCAATCGACAACGTTACTTAATTACGAATAAACTATATTAATAAATGAGTAGGTTTTCAAGACTACTATCAGCTCTCCTTATATCATTATGGGAAAAATAATTTATTAATCCTTCATCACCTTAAACAAAATAGGATGAACACAACTTGTAAACTATATTAAATTTGGAAAATTAATCTTGCCTCCTCTGCAATAATTTTTGTGATATTTAGCTTCGGACAATTGGCTTACTACGCTCCCAGACGTTTAGACGGTATCATTAATTAGAGGCGTTATCATTAGCACAGGGTAAAAATCAACTTCCAGTCTCTTTATTAAATTATCCTCAATTGATAATTGACAAAAGACTGCTTTAATTAAAGTATACGATCTGGATTTGATTCCTTCCTTGACTCTCTTTGGGACTACACTAAATAATTATCTAGCTCTTAGTAGTGTTGAAAGACTTTAGTGAAGAGATTCGAAATTCGATCTTTTTAGCTGACAATTGCGGATTCTTCTAAACCAGCTGCCATTTAGCTTCACTTAAAAATTCTTGTTGACGCTTCTTCCAGGGCAATCTCCTTTAATTCCGGTAACAATGTGCCAAGCTTTCGTCCATCATATGACGGACAACGTCAGAGTATGACATTGTTCTAACAGCTGCATTCAAGCGAATGAGTCAAGAGTCAAGTGTTCTTGACTCGAAAGCTTAGCACGTTTTATCTAGAATAGAAGGAAATTGCCTTGGAAAAAGCTCAACAATAATGTTTTAGTAAGCCAATCGACAGCTAAGAAGAAATAATCCGCAATCGTCTCTGGTGGGATCATCCTTTGAATCTCTTAACAATGGACTTTCCCTCTAAATACAATTGAGCACAACAAAGATAAACTAGGAGAATAATCTCAACCTAACCTTTGTCCGTGTTGAAGCTGTTTTACCTTGGTTTCGCAATTTGCTTATATTAAAAGGAACACTTAGAGGAACGCACCTTGTCCGGAGTCCATGGCATGCATAATGAACTCCATATTAAGGCTGTGAATTTGGTACATTCCCAGATGTTTTGCCGGCATAGTAGTCGGCATCATCAGGGAGTCTTGCCAATCTTAGCAGCCAAACTACAACTCGTCAAAGGGACAAGTGAATATATTCCCTTGACCACCTTTCTGTCGAAACTGTTATGCTATCATTCTTCGTTCAATTCTGGCTCCTCCTGTTTCCTACCCTCTTGTCTTGCCCTCGCC